TGGAGAGGAAAAAGAAAAAGAAAAGTAGGTGGAATCTCATGAAAATTGAAGTGAGATCAGTAGAAGAAAGGAAAGGGACTTGGGAAGGGAAGAAAAGAGAAAGAGGAAATACTGGGGTATGATATTGGCCAAATTATACTGTCATATCATGTGCATATATGAATATGTAACAACAAATCGCACCATTATGTACAACTATAATACACCAATAAAAAATGGGGGAAAACTTTAAAAAAGAAAACCAGTAGGAGCTAATGTGTTTTTTAAAATGTGAGTTTAATAACTATACTTGTCAGTATTTATAAATAAAGCCACATATTCTACATGACAAAACTATGCCCAGAAGTATGTTGTGCAATTCTTACAAATGGGCAGTGTAGTTGACAGCCATGTTACCATCAGCTCTAACTCCCACACCTTTTTGTTCTTCTGACAAGTTATTTTTTTTTTACTTTAAAATTTTAAACAAATAGATATGTAAAAACTGTATGTATTGATGGGGTAACAGAACATTTGATACATGCATGCATAGTACAATGTTTAAATGAGGTTATACATATCTTCTCAAACATTTGTCATGTCTTTATGGTGAAAACTTTCAATATTGTTTCTTCTAGCTTTTTGAAATATGTGGTACATTACTATTATCTATAGTCACCCTACTGTGCTCCTATCAAACTGTAACTTAGTACCCATTGATCAATCTTGCCCTATCCTCCCTCCCTACTACTATAACTAATCACCTCCATTATGAACTTATTCCTTACAAGTAAGTATTCCTTACCCCTCCCCCCACCTTTTTTGTTCCTAGAACTGGGGGTGAACCCAGGGGCATTTTATCCTTGAGCTATATCCCCAGCCCTCTTTTTTTTTTTCTTTTCTTTTTTCTTTTTCTTTTTTTTTTTAGAGACAGAGACTCACCAAGTAACAGGGCAATCCTCCTCAACCTCCCAAGTGATTGGAATTACAGATATGCATCACTATACCCCACTACATTTTTTTTTTTTTAAGAAAACCTAACCAAGCATATCTTTCTGTAACCCAGAGTTCTTAAGAGAAGAACTTATGGATTCTTGGAAACTTAAAATTTTAAGTAAAACTATGTGTCCAATAAGTTTTTGTACACAAGGCAAGGGAGAAGGCAGGGGAAGGAATCAAGTGCTATTCAAAGGCCATGATACAAAAAAGCTAAACACTGTTGTGACCTATTCACAGGTCACAGACTGCAGAAGCCAACACTTCTTCAGTTATGTGTCCATAACTGAAGTTTACTTACCAGAATCTACAGATCCAAACTCTCTCAAAGCTCTCTCATAATATTCTCTTAAGTTTGCCATCTTGCAGGATTCCTAACAAAAACAATCAGACAATTTTGCCACAAAAGCCTAGTTATAAAATCACAAGTTCATTTCAAACTTAGAGTTAACAACTAACATCTGTTAGATATTTGAAGGGGAAGGAGGGTCAGGGTATAAGATGAATCAGCCTAGTTGTCAACTTACCCAGAAAAAAGGCAAATGCACTACCCACCAGAGTGAAGTCAATGTCAATTCGTAAAAACACCTTGCTCTGGTGGCATGGAAAAAAGTCTAATAAATTTTCAGTAAGGGATTAAACAAAGGGGAATGAAGAGAAGGGAGTGGGGTTGGGCATAGGAAAGACAATAGAATGAACCGGACATAACTGTCCTATGTTCATAAATGAATACATGACCAGTGTAACTCTACATCATGTACAACCATAAGAAGGGGAAGTTAGGGCTGAGGTTGTTGCTCAGCAGTAGAGTGCTCGCCTCACACGTGTGATCCTGGGTTCGATCCTCAGCACCACATAAAAGATAAATAAATAAAATAAAGGTATTGTGTCCAAAAATAAATATTAAAAAAAAGAATGGGAAGTTATACTCCATGTATGTATGATATGTCAAAATATATTCTACTCGAGGCTTGGGTTGTGGCTCAGTGATAGAGCACTTGCCTAGTACATGGGTTCGATCCTCAGCACTACATAAAAATAAATAAAATAAAGGTGTCCAACTACAATTGAAAAATAATTATTATTTTTTTTTGTTCTTTTTAGTTATATATGACAGTAGAGTTAATGGGAAACATGAAAGGCTTCACAGGAAACATTTGAAAGGCTTGGGGGATGATTAAGAGTAAAATAAAGAAACAAATTTATATGACCCTTGGCAAGTTTGGGGGGTTTTTTTGTGTGGTTTTCTTTTTTTTGGTATGAGGATTTTTGAACCAAGGGGTGCTTTATCACTGAGTCAAATCCCTAGTCCTTTTTATTTTTTATTTTGAGATAGGGGCTCCCTAAGTTGCTGAGACTGGCCTCAAGTTTGTAATCCTCTTGCTTCAGCTGATTTCCCTGGTTGCCCGGCTTATAGGCATGTACCACCATACCTGGCTAACCTTCAACAAGTGTTTTAAACCCTCTGTCAATATTTTCTCACATGGAAAACAAGGGTTGTACTTCTTAGTGCAACTCTAAGTATTAAAGTAATGATTAATGATGAACCTAATGATAAGTATTAAAGTAATGATTAATGATGAACCGCTAATTTTAGACAATCAATAACTGCTAATTCTTCACCTATTTTTAAAAATACATTCCCTTTTGCTTTCTTTTCACAGTAGACTTGACATCTTCAGTTTAAAAATCCTTTTGTATAATAAAATAACTACTTCCTGAGCTGGAGAGTTACCTCAGGGGCACAGCAGTTGTCTAGCATGTATAATTCCTGGGTTAGATTCCTAGCAGCACAGAAAAAAAAAACAAAATCTTCCTAATTAAAATCTCACTTCACTGAGATTGTATTAGATTACAGGAAGTCAATTTAACCTCATATGCTTTAAAAAAAAAAAAAAAACAGAATCATACTTTGCTGAGGGTTCCTAATGGTCAAGGCACTATGCAAAGTCCTTTCTACATAGTATCCCTATTAGGCCCTATAACTCTCATACCACTGAAAAAGGTATAAGGACCTTTTATAGATGAGGATGTGAGGCTTAGAACTAAGTGGTCTGCCTAAGGCAAATGTTAATACAAAGTCTGGCTGTTTGATGATATTAAACTATCTCTAGTATTATAAGACTGTACTATACTGTAGAACATGAATAGACACTTGACTCAGACAACAATGTAACTTTTTTTTCGGGGGTGGGGGGGTTGCCAGGGATTGAACCTAGGGGAACTGAACCACATCCCTAGCCCTTATATTTTATGTAGAGTCAAGGTCTTGCTAAGTTGCTGAGGCTGGCTTTGAACTTTTGATCCTCCTGCCTCAGCCTCCCAAGTGGCTGGGATTATAGGCATGTACCACATGCCCAGGTAACTTTGAAAATGCAAATAAAAAAAAAAATACCAAGTGAAGTACCAAAATAAAAGAGAAAAAGCAAAATTAGATACTTGGAGAAGCTAAAAGGAAACAAGGATGCAGTATATCTTATTATAAATAAGCCTAATTATTCTTTTTTTTTTTCTAGTTTTAGATGGATAGAATGCTTTACTTTACTTGTTTATTTTTATGTGGTGTTGAGAATCGAATCCAGTGCCTCACACATGCGAGGCAAGCACTCTACCACTGAGCCACAACCCAGCCCAAGCCTAATTCTTTTGGAGAACTATAATATGGCAATATAATAAAACCATACATAATATGCCTCCAATCCAGAAATTTATATCAGTAACTCAAAAGAAAAAAACTACATAAAGACAATCTCTGCAGCAGTGTTTTCAATATACAAAAAAAAAAAAAAGAGAGAGAGAGGTAAGAATCTATATATAATGGAATAGATATGAAAATTACAGGTTTAAGAATTACATTAGAGCTGGCCACAGCATTACATGCCTAAAATCCCAGCTGCTCAGGAGCCTCAGACAGGATTGAAAGTTCAAAGAAAGCCTCAGCACCAGGGCACAGGTAGCACAAGCCTGTAATCCCAACAGTTCAGGAGGCTGAGGAGAGAGGATCACAAGTTTAGAACCAGCCTCAGCATCTTAGTGAGGCCCTAAGCAACTCAGTGAGACCCTGTCTCAAAATAAAATATAAAAAAGAGCTGGGGATGTGACTCAGTGGTTAAGCACCCATGTGTTCAATACCCAGTAAAAAAA